GTCATGACCAAAACCCGTCATCTCAGGCTAATTCACACATGACGTTGGTCAGGCAGGCGTCTCCAGGCTCAATTCTAACTGGTAGAACTAGGATAACCAGAATAGGGTTCTGAGGGGTGAAAATAATGCTTAGAAGACTGCCTCTGTCCGCAGTTGACTGGGTAAGTCTGCATTAGAAATCCCCATTCACACACAGCCTCATGGGTGCACTCCAAGTGAAAAGCATATTGTTGGAGGCAGGGAGGGAGGGGGGAAATGCTTCAGAGTGACTAGTGCTTGGTTCCTTTCCTTTTAGAGTTATTCCTCTCTCACACAATTCCCCAGGTATCAGTGTGTATTATACCAAGGTTAGGGTCCCTTTTTCAATTTGCTTCCTCCTTTCTATCCTCACCCTCTCAAAGGTGAATATCTTGGGGGGCTGTTTGTCTTCATCAACCTTCTCCAGAACTTAGAAATGAATAATCTCTTTATTCTGCATTTTCCCCTTTCTTCTTCTTTCCACCAAACTGAGAAGCTTAAGATCTAAGAAGAAAATAAGTCTTATTTTAATTAGAATTTACTCAAGGAGCTGGACATGGTGGTGCACGTCTGTAATCCCAGAGGCTTGGAAGGCTGAGGCAGGACAATCTTGAGTTTAAGACTAGCCTCAGCAACTGAGCAAGACACTGTTTCAAAAAAAAAAAAAAAAAAAGGTTGGGGATGTGGTTCAGTGCTAAAGCACCTCTGGGTTGTTAAATCTCTAGTACCAAAAACAAAACTCACAAAACAAAAAAAAGAACTTAGCTCAAGGAGGCTAAAGGAATCTTTGCAGTGTGTCTACAATGCAGCCCACTTTTCAAGGAGAATATACAGGGGTCTCAGGCCAACTAGGTCATTAAAATAGATTTTTGCCTGGCTTTATTCTCTGCTGGCCTATCCTTTTGTCCAAAGCCTGTGAAGATGGTATGACTTACACTACTTAAGAGTCATAGAAATTTTCTTTCAATTTTTATGATTCGAACTTATGCTCCTTGTAATTCTAATCAAGGACCTTTCTACCCACTACCAATTTCCCTCTGGCAGCAAAGGCCACGAAAATCTTGACATATCTTAGAACATTCATTACTGGTTTGGCATTTAATTGTGTCAAGTGCACAAATAAATATCACACTGTAATGGCAGAAATTTGGAGGATCTGGTTTAGAGATTCAGAACCCATTTGGGATATGGAGAAATATACACTTACCCAGAAGTACACAGCGAGGAGCAGGGCCACTCCAAACCCCATGCCCTTGGTGGTCGCTGGTGCAGAGGATGGTGCTCTCCCCAAAGAGGCTGAAGGTGATCCCCCTGTCTGGTTGGGGATCACATGTGTAAATCACTGATGTTCCAAAAGGAAAGACTTCCAGAGAAGCTCCTGAGTGTCTCCCATTAAGGATAGTTGGAGGACTTGGACAAAAGATTTCTGGAAAGAAGGCAAGAACTTCAGTTTCTTTCAGGGATTTCATCAGAGATATTCTACCATTGTAAGGTGCTATGATTGGTGCCACTTTTAAAAATGCTAAGATGAAGCTGGGTGCGGTGGTACATGCCTGTAATCCCAAATAGCTCAGGAGGCTGAGACAGGAGGATTGTGAGTTCAAAGCCCAGTCTCAGCAATGGTGAGGCACTTAGCAATACAATGAGGCCCAGTCTCTAAGTAAAATACAAAATAGGGCTGGAGATGTGGCTCAGTGATTGAATGCACCTGAATTCCAATCCCCAGTACAAGAAAAAAAAAAAGAAAGAAAGAAAGAAAGAAAGAAAGAAAGAAAGCTAAGATGACAGTGTCTATCAGGCCCTTGATAGGGCAGACTGTACAAAATGAGATCTCAAATTTTACTGAAAAAATACAAGAGACATTTGCTATCCTATATTTTCCAGATAGTTGAGTTTTCTGGATAACAGAAACTACTTTGTGTCTTTAATTAAGTACTCAGAGTTTTAAAGAAAAAATATAACCAATTTGAAGGGTAACTCATTCATTTACTCAACTTATGTTAATTGAGCACTAATTCTGTGTCAACCAGTCATCGATGCCCTGGAGATCCAGTGGTAAAAAGCACAGAGCAGGTATTTGTCCTCCACGGAGCTTACATTGCTAGGAAATTCTTCTAACATGTATTCCATGTGTACTGCTCACCTTAAATACCTGAAACCTTCCTGGACAACTTACTGATATTGATCATCCATCTCAATTACGAGAGTAGTGCTGTCACCATGCATTGAAACATATACAAGTCACTGTAAAAAAAAAAAACCTCTGAATGCACTCAGAGTTTTAAAAAAAATCTCTTGATGTGTTTGTAATATATGTTTTTTTTCCTCTTTATTTTCTGTCAGGTTTCAAATTGTTGCTTCTTTCTGGTGTCTGCTTTTCAGTTTAGAACATCTCTGCCTCACTTCTAATTGGCATTTCTAACTAGTCTTGGAATTTGAATGAAGCTATTTCGAACAGTAATAGTGTTACATAAAAAGAAAGTCTGTGGTACCATCAAGAACAGTGTGCTCATGCATGACAGTAGGTCAGCCATTTGTCACTGGTTTCAAGAAACACTGGATTTCTTGGACTGCAGAGATTTATATTTATATAAGTTCTTATCAAGTTTTACTATCAAAACACCATAAGATATACAAGTAGATTCTTAGAACACTAAATTTCAGTAAAATTTTCTTGTTAAAAAGAAAATGGTACTAGCAATCTTTAGAATCAAGAAATGAAGCAAAATCTAAATGTAGAAACTAGGAGAATTCAGTAGTATCTCTGCACACATAAGACTCAGTTTTTAATCGGCTTGTTATTTCTGAATCTCGGCATGTTCTGTGTGGATACAGATTTTTTTTTTTTTTTGGTAGTACTGACAATTGAACCCAGGGCCTTGTGTATGTGAAACAAGCACTCTACTAACTAAGCTATATACCCAGCCCCTAGATACAGATTATGAGAGTTCAAGGAGTATCAAATTGCCTACCTTGTCTAATGTGTTCCCCCTCTCTCCCACATTACTGTGATCTATTATCTCCATAGCATTTAATTTATTTTTTGTTGGCCGCCTCCTCATTTGAGCGTAAGTAACACAGGGACAGGGAATTAGCTCACCTTGATCCCTGCTACAATTCCACCACCTATAAGGTCATCAGGCACATAGTATGTGCTCAATAAGTAATTGCTCAAATGAATGCCTGTATTTGTGTATCAGAAAATGAAGAGGAAAACTATAAAGTGACTTTACCTTGATGACAGAACAAAACAAGAAAAAAAACGATGGGAGGGGGCAGATAAGGAAGGAATGAAGTAGGAAAGAAAAAGAAAAAGTCTTGTCAAAGGTTCACATCATCTAATCTTTTCTGATCTAATGGCAAACTACACACAAAATATCACACAGAACTTAGAATTCGAAATAACAGACTAATTTAGTGGTTCCAAAACCAAGAGATACACATAATGATTCAGAAGAAAGAACATGCTATTAAAATAAGTATCTTGTATCAATTTCAGACCAGAAAGCAGACGAGCCATATCATGGGAGTCCTTGGGTCGAATTACAACACAAATCAAGGAGAGAGATTGGCTCAAAGTGTCACTCCTCATACTCACGTTCACACACAGGGGCACTGCTATTCCAAAGGCTTTTCATTCCAACCAAAACACAATGACTAGCAGAACTGCCCTTTAATTGAAACCTAAAGGAGAAAATGGGAGTGAATAGTGGATGTTTCTGACAACTGCCATTCAGTTCTCAATCTGAGGCCCAGCCTCCCGTCCCCGCGGCCCCCCACCAAAAAAAAAAAAAAAAATCAGAATTTTGAGAATCTGAAACGAATAGGTGGTAGAGGTGAGAGGTTAAGTCATTCTGGAAAAAAACAGTTTCTTGCAGGGAGCAACATAGAATGGTGAAGTCCAGCAACTTGGTCACATAATAGTCCTGGCTTGAAGTGAAGGAGGCAGTCGTGATGCAGCTGCTATCTCCTGATCCCTGAACCCAAACTCAGAGCCTCACTGATCATCCCATGATGAACCTAGCAGAACCCCTCACACTGCTGCAAACCAATCCCCCCCCAATCCCTTAAAAAATTTTTTTTTTTGATACAGGGATTGAACTCAGGGGCACTCGACCACTGAGCCACATCCCCAGCCCTATTTTGTATTTTCTTTAGAGACAGGGTCTCACTGAGTTGCTTTGCACCTCACCTTTGCTGAGACCGACTTTGAATTCAAGATCCTCCTGCCTCAGCCTCTCAAGCCACTGGGATTACATGCCTATGCCACCATGCCCCACCCAAACCAGCTTTTTTTTCTTTTTTTAAGAGAGAGAGAGAGAGAGAGAG